GAGACCTTAGCTCTCGTCTCAGGTTGCGGAACCCGAACTCGAACCCTCTCCACCACCAACGAAATGCGGGAGAGTACAGGAAGCAAGAGTAGTATCCTGAAATATCCCGGCTCAAGACGCGAAGATAACCGCCGTGTGCTGGGGGGTGGAAAGACCGCCGAAAAGTAACCCCGAACCACCAAGGATATATCGCCAAATCCAAATCCACTCTCTTCTTCTCATACTTTTTTCCTCCTAGACGATTTAACTTTTTGTTTAACCAGCAAACGACGCGGGGTGGAAAAGCGCTGGCGGTAAGGAGTTTTCTTCATGAATGAGTGAGTAAATTTTCTCCCACCGCTGAATAATAGATGCCGGGGGAAAAACGTGGATTGCAACCCAAAAAAAAGGATAGAAAGTACAGTAAAACTTGCAATTTTTATGAGCTAAGGGGGCAAAAAGCGCTTTCTAGAGAAATGATTTTCGGGGAAAACGATTAAATGAGAAATCCATTAGTAAAGTTCATAAAAATTCAAACGAAATTGACGTTTGAAAGAAAGGATATTTAGCTTTATTTCCTGCTTTTTTAAGGGGTACGAAAGATTATTTTTCTATTCTTTTTAACCCTTTCTGTGACTATAAATGTTATAGCCCCTTGTCAATTAAGTCATTTATCTTACTGTCACTATCAAGAAAAATAAAATCTAATCAAAGCTTTAAGATTTAACTCACAATATACACCACATTTCTTTATTTTATTTAAACTCTTTTAAATTTACTTCGTCCTAAGTACAGTTTAGACTATTTGAAAAGTCACTTTCCATTTAATCGTCACCGATTTCGTTCCCCCTTTTGGCATTTCCCCCGATTTGCATTTTCCACTCTCTTTAACGCTCAATTATTTACATCGATTGAAATTGTTTGCCGAAATAGTAATTTAAATGCGTATGGAAATTCGGCTACAAGCAGCGTAGCAGACGATTAAAAAACAGTTTATAAATCATCGATGGCAGCTTGTTCTCTACTTTTCCCCTTCAATTTTTTCTTAACCGAACATCTCCTGAATTGTTATATCCCCCGAATCTGCATATGGATGGCAGAAAATTACATACTTAACTGTGGGTTGCCCCATGCAGTTTCTTAGAATGAATTGCAGCAACCCTCCCGGAAGATCCTTTCGGTTCCGTTTCGCTACGATTGCTTTTTCCTTACAGGAAAACTCATTTCAATTATTATTAAAATTTCTTATTTACATTTCTATTGAAATGATGGGCTAGAGGAAAAGAAAATCCGGAAGGGGAAAGCGCACCTAAGGTACTAACAAAACAAACTGAAGAATGTAAAGAGTCGGAACTGTTTTTACTGCCAACGTGAAAAATTGGGAAAACATAAAAATAGCATAACTTTAACTACCAAGGGTAGTTAACTCGCTACCATATCATTGTCCCGCTGCTCCCGTCTTATTTTTATTGTTCCGAACCCAAGGCAGATCTCGTCGAGCTGTCTTCGCTTCCCCCTGAAACACCAAAGTTAATGTCCTTTGATCCATATGCGTGTGCTTTGTTCGAAGCAAACTGGAAATTGAAATTTGGCATTCGAACAAATAATAAAAAGAGCCTTGGGATGCTTTTTATGCCTATATAGGGCAGCGGGTTGTCTCCTCCATGAGTCCTGTTCTGGTTCCCCTTTATTGTCTGTCTTACAAAGTTCTGTAAGCAGCTCGGTAAGTAGAACAATCTAAGTGGAACAAAGGCTCTTGATTTATGGCTCAAATCTGGAGCAGAAGGTCTAGTTTCAACGGGTTTATCTGGAGGAAGTGTTGGAAATGGATTTCCCCAATTGAGGATCATCTGAGGTCAGTTCTTGGTATATATCTTGACATAAACTTGTTTAATAAACCTCTAATATAGCCCATTTGATATAAACATAAACATATTAAACTTTGTCATTACTAATGACTTTTATATTTGAGACTCGTAGTTGATCCCAATTTTCCATTTTACTACGCCACTTGAACCCAGCTTAAACTCTCATTTATAACCATCCAATCTTCTATGATCACCATAATGCTGAGTCATCTTGACACCTTTTGATTCTCCGTCCTCTGAACCCTGAGATGTCATAACAAGAATATAATTATCTGAATGACAAATGATCCAAGAAAACTGCAATTTTCTTGAAGAAAACTCTTCCTAAATTTGATGAATTAACCTTAATTTCCTGTGTCATTGGCCGGCGGCGTTTTGAACCTAACACTTTCTTTTTTTGCCTCGGGCTGGAACGAGTTCCCCTCAATAGATCCTTTGTCGAAGGATTTGCACGTGTGCACAAATTAGCAAAAACTGGTTACAAGGCATTTGCCTTCTGTTTTCCGATCGAAAGAAAGCGGAGAAACTAGTTTTTCCAGCGGGGCGCTTTTACCCGGCATTGTTCTAAGAGGATAAGGTTTACAAAGGAGGAAAAACCAGATGGGCAAGGAAAATTATGAAAATTCCATTGTTTTCCTCGGGTTATTTGTTGGCCTAGCGGGGTGTATTACTGGTCTTTCCCTCTCTATGATTCTCTACCAGCTTGAAGTCGGTGAGGTAATAATTATGGAATTAATATGAAATCAAAGGCAAGCTAGTTTTCCGATCGAAAATCCGATTGGAAGATTTCTTCTTGACAATCCAGTTTCAGCTTGAGTTCCTCCACTCGGAAGCTTCCCTAGCAACAACAACCCCATTCTATGACTCACTAGAAATCCCAAAATCTGAACACGTGGTGCTGAGAAAATTCCAATGAATCAACCAAAATGAAATTCCCTCTTTCCATTCAACAGGACTTCAAACAAAGGGAATTTGAATAACTTCGCCCCGCGTTGTTTCACCATGTAAAGGAATTAAAAAACGCTTTAAGGAGCCCAAATCACTGTGCCAAAACTCCACACAGGAAAAAAATAGATCAAAAAGACATTATATCGTAATTAATTTCATCTGGTTTTTGTACTCATGAAGAGGGTTTTGTATTTTTAAGCAGACTTTTACATAGTTTTATCCAAAATTGTATTGTATAACTTTTGAAGCTAGAATCGGAAATAATTTGTTTAATTGATTTGAAGTTTATCAAATTATTTGAGTACTGACAACGATTACAAAATAAATTTAATGACCTCTTAAAATGAGACGATCCTAAGTCAAGAAAACTGTGTTTAATTAAGAATGTTATTTTTTCCCCAGTGATAAACGCAAATCAACCCCTCGGATTCCAAGTGAGGACCACGGAGGAGGATCAGTCTCAGGAGTGTAAGGGGTGCAAAAGAACACACACTCAGCATGGGATGCGTGTAAATTTCTAAGCCATTACAATGTCATGTCACTGGGTCCTTGGAAGCACCCTAAATGGTAGGAAAAAGCCAAGGAAATGCACAAGGAAGTGCCAAGGACAGGGGTTGAGCTTGCCTTGGGGGTTGGTTTTGGACCATCGAAGGTCTTTGGGGTGTCTCTGCCTTCAGCATCTGGTTTTCGTCCAATTATATTTTGGGGGCCATGTGCAATGTGGGGAAAAGCACGACTTAGCATCGATCTAGCCTTCTGATTCGACGGACATACAAGAATAAATGCCTAAGAAAGTTTTAGAAACTTTTCATGGTCAACACAAAAAATACATTTGATTTGAATATCGAAATTTGCTCCACCCTTATAAGAAAAACCATTCTCAAAAGTTTTAAAGTTGGAGAAAATTGGAGTAAGTGTAAGGATAATTATATATTTGATACTGTGATCAAATCTTTACCAAAGCTATTAAAGTCTACGTCCTAGTTTAATCTTCCTAGTTTATTGCAATACACCTTATAACTTTCAATTAGAATATTTAAATTTTAGTCATCTGAAACAGGCATATTTAGCAAATTAGTCGGCATGATCTCTAAAATAAGGTTTTAATGCGAGAAAACCTACATAGATATACATTTTTTAAAACCTACTTTTAGTTTAACATGCAGTCGATAAAACGGTCCTAAGTAATGTGGAACAGGAAAACCTGCAATGGTAATACTTTTATTTTATACTAGTTTTAAATTGTTTAATGTTAGGAAGTGATTACTGTGCTTTGTTATTACTTTGGCGAGTCAAGAGTTTTCGAAATGTAAATAAATAGCACTTTATTGTTAAGAGGAAATATGTGAAAAATCTTGATTTATGCAGCACATCACAAAAAAGCCACATTTTCACTTGTAAGCAAAGTAACGACCGAACAGATTTTTGTTAGGAATTGCAAGTAATGCCAAGCGAATTACAATAAAAACAGACCACGAAATGGCACACAAGGAATAGGAATCGAGGGAGGAGAAAGAGAGGGTGATAAGGGGTAGTAAATGGCAGTGTCATGAATGAATACGATGTGCGGAAGTGTGTATGTGTGTCAACGGGAAAGAGACGGGGCTAATGCTGATTGCGGTATTTGCATCCAGTCGGGAGCAAGCGAGATGGAAGCTGTGACGGACGACAGGCGCGTGCATGCGCCCAATGCCTGATTGGAATTGTCCATTTCAACTTTTCCACACGTTTCTCCAGCTGGAAAGCTTTTCGCGCCAATTTTGCCTGCACCAAGAAAATTGCAGCGCAGCAGCAGCAACAACAAAATCACAACAATCAGCAGAAGCAAGCAGCAACAAACAAACAAACAGGTTTTCCATCGGCTGACCGACAATTGCGGTTGAAGGCGAAGGGCAAAAGAGCAGCTGAAAAAGAACCCCCGAATCTACAGATTAAACTGTTGTTTTTGTTGTGGCTAAGAATATTTTATGCTAATTGTTGGAGGCGGGGCACACGCACACTCTAATACTTTTCTCTCTTCTTCCCTTCCCTCCCCCACAACAACAACCCGCACACACATGCACAGTTTGTTACGCTTTGTTCGCTGTAACGAAAATAGCAACAAAGCAAAGCAGAATCACTATTTACATACATACACAATAATACCCTATTGCTTACAAAGCAAAAAATTTAGAATGCACTAATCTAGTAGATAGCGTCACTTACCCGATAAGGTTTTGCAGCCAAGAGGTGACGTAGACGTTCAACTTGTTAGCCACAATGGGTTTTCCACAATTTACACAGTTTATTTGGTGGTTTTAACGATTTTTAAGGAGCGCCGAGCAGGTTGATTTGGATTTGGATTTGTAGATGAAGACTATTCACCATTCGCTTTTGCTCCGCTATTCTACACACAGGGTTGCATCGCGCGCGCAAGTAGTGCTGTAGGTGTTGGAAAGATTGTGGCGGGTGATTCAAACATTTGCTATCGATAACACAGATTTCAATTGTTTTTGTCTTAGAAATTAAAGAAGATTGTGTAATATAATTATTTAAAGAACAAATTTTATTAAAAGTTAAATACAAAACCAATAATAATTATGTTTCCCTTAGTGATTCTTTTTCTTCTTCTACATTCCATTTAGGTTACAATCTTAACCTTTTTTTAAATGTACATTTCTGAATAAGAATATAATAAAGAACACTGCCTCAACTGCAAACAAAAGTATTTCCACAAATAAAATAGACAACTCATTATGCACAAGCAAAAACTTTAAACATATTCAGTTTTAATTGCTTTTTTCCTCTTTACAGGCAGTTGTGAAATCTTTATTGCAACAAGTGTACAAATAATGTCTGGGAACATTTACATATCCTCCACGCTGTACTTGTAGGCCTCGTCCTGCACCGCCCGCCGTTCGCTCTGCTTGTCGAACCACCGCTGCTCGTAGCCGTTGGACCGATCAACACCGTCCCATCGGTATCCTGGTGGGATGCCAAAACGGTTCTCCGGAAAGCTGCCCTCGTACTTGGGCATCACCGGTTTGTTGTCCTGCTGATCACGTTTCTTGCGCTTCTGCCGCATGTACTCCAGCATGGGATCGTCGGCGTGCTCCTGCTCCCGGAGGTGCCTGTCCAGGTCCTCGTCGTTGGCATAGCGAGCCACCGGCTTGGAGGCTTCATGGGCCATCTCCTCGAGGCGGGACTGTCGATCCTCTATCTGCTTTAGGCCCTTGCCCCAGCGGTCGTACAACTCCTTCTTTTTCTTCTCGTGCTCCTCCTTGCGGCTCCGCTCGGCGGGATCCTCGTCGGCTGCTTCCCGCGCTCTGCGCCCCTTTCGGCGAGTGCTGCGCACCTGTACATCTCCATCCCGGCCAGAAATTTCGCTGGACATTTTGTCAAACAGGTCATGTTCCTGTCGCCGCCTCTCGTCAGTTTCCTTTTTGAGGGATTTTGCGTCCTGCAGACCTGCCTTCTTGCCATCTAGCGTCTTGGTTGACTTGGGTTTGTGCGTTGGTGGTGGTGAAACAGATTTGCTGGGTGATGCCTTGCCCCAGCGACTTTTCCTCTCCTCTTTAAAGCGATTTCGCGGCGCAGGACTCTGATCCCGACTGACGGATCTACGGTTCCTGGGTGGACTTTGGTCGGAATCGCGACGCCTGCGTGGGGATTTGTCTCGTTTTCTGGGCGGAGATTGATCTTCATCTTTAGGTCTCCTTGGAGGACTTTGATCGGAATTCCTCCTCCTTCTTGGTGGCGATTGCTTGTCATCTCTACGTCTTCTGGGTGGGCTTTGGTCGGAATCCCTTCTCTTTCGAACTGGAGATAGGTCGTCGCCTTTCCGTTTTCTGGGCGGACTCTGGTCCGAGTCTTTCCTCCTACGCCTTGGAGGAGATTGGTCGTCCGCTTTACGTCTTCTAGGCGGGCTTTGATCGGAGCCTACTCTCCTTCTAGGTGAGGAAGCATCCTTATCTCTACGTCTCCTGGGCGGACTCTGATCGGAGTTACTTCTGCGACGTCTGGGTGGTGATTGATCGGAGTCTCTTCTCCTTCTAGTCGGTGATTGCTTATCCTTTCGCTTTCTTGGAGGACTTTGATCCGAATCTCGCCTTTTTCTGGCTGGTGATAGATTGCCATTCCTCGCTTTTCTGGGTGGACTCTGATCGGAATCTCTACGTTTTCTGCGTGGCGGTAATTGATCTGCATTTCTTCCTCTTCTGGGTGGACTCTGATCTGAGCTATCCGCCCTTCTGCGACTTGGAGATTGATCCCTGCTCTTCCTGCGAGGACTTTGTTCGCGTTTCGGTGGTTTTCTCGACCTCGTTGGACTCAAATCCCTGGAGCTGCTGCGTTTTTCCTGCTTGATTCGCCTGGAGGGTGAGAACTCATCTTTAACCTTAGCCACGGGTGGCTTGCGTCCCCACATCTCCTGCTCCTCGTCCAGGGGCTCCTGTTTGATGCGAATGGCAGGCGCTGCTGGCGAGGATTCCTGGCCCTCCTCCTCCTTGATCTCATCCTTGACGGCAATGTTGCGCCACTTGCTGCGCACATTGGGATCGTCCTCGATGTACTCGCCCACAATTTGGGGTGCATCCTCGCCGCCTAGCAGCAGATCCTCGTCCACTTCCTGGTCATCCTTCTCGTAGGCATCGTCATCGATGATTTTCACTTTGGCCCCCTTCTTGTGCTTCTTATCCTTCTTTTTTTCTTCTTCTCCTTGTCGCCGGAGAGGTACTTTTTGAGGTACTCCTTCTGGTCTATGATTTTGGCCTTTTGCATGGACATTTTCGGTTAATTAAGGCGGCAAATTGCAAATTACAACCAAATTGTTTACGTTTTTAGGGGAGTGTGACCGTTTATTGATTTTTATTAAAATGTCACTTGGTTGAGTTCGTTAAGTTGCCCCTAACAGCACGGATTCTAATTTTTCATCGGTCTGGCAGCCCCACATATTTTAGTTCGTATTTTTATATTTGCTTTACTGTGCGATAAAAACATTAAATATCATAGACATTTGTGTAGAATAATTTATTTGTATATAATTTTTTACTTTTGTTCATATTTTTTTCTTTAAAGCTTGTAGCTGTTTGGAAAGAAATCATTTCAAATATGTTACTCTTGGCGCGTTAGCGACTTACTGTTAACTAACAGTTTTCGATAAGTCCTTTGTGTTAAAGAAATACTCCTCATTGTCAAACTTTTAATTAGTTACTAACCCAGTTCTCTTTAAAAAGGGTTGCTTTTTTGTTGTAAATATTCCTTTGTTCTAAATATCGGCCTGCACTTTCGAGCGATTAATTTCTGGCCTCCTACCCTCCCATCCCTAAATCGGGAGAGACAACTTTTTTTTTGTTTGTAAACGTGCTTTTCCCCCTGGATTTCCCGAAATACCCGATCAAAACCGAATCAAAAACCCTCGCAGAAATCTAAAAATCAAATAAACCAGATTTTCGTGGAAGTGGTTGCAAAAAAGTGTCATCAATTATCGTGTTGCATGGGAGTTGTCCATTTGGCCGCCGGCCTCAGCTGGCGGCGTTATCATCAGCCGGGGATTAACTTCCAGAAATATTCCTAGAGAACGTAAGTACTAAGCATGCGAATAAGCGGCTTAAATGGCGGATTAAATCGAGCCACGGCAATTATTTGTCTTACTTCCTGAAAAATGTGAAGTAGCGAGTTCTCTTCAGGAGACTAAGTGGAAAGTCCTCGAGGGCTCTTACAGCCTTTTTGTGGAAATCACATGGGGGGCAGTGACAGTGGCATCGGCAGGAGGGGCCGATGCGAAAACGGGGGGCTAAGTGACGAGCGGGAAAGGGGCGTTTAAGTGACGAATGAAATGAAGCGCAAAAACAAAGAGTACGCAACAACAATGCCGAGCAGCGAAAACAATTGGCAGGAAAGGAAACGCAAGGCAGGGCCAAAGGGGCGGATGCCAGGGGGGGGGAGAGGGTAAGCGGGACCGGTGGCACCCACATATTCACATTTTGAGTTTTTGAGTGCAAGAACGCGCGAAAGGCATGCAAATTAATTCGCTTAACTGAGCTTTTAAAGCGCTCTTATTATATTCCGTTGTTTTGGTTGCGTTCTCTCCATTACCCTTTTTCTGCATTGTTGGCATTTCTTTTCCTCTTTTTCCCCCCCCTTCTTTCCCTTTTCCTCCATGAATTTAAAGCCCACGGCATGCTCCCTCTCTCGCTGCTTTGTCTGTCTCCCTCCACTTGTGTTGTCTCTGTTTTGGTGCCTGTCCCGCAAACAGCTGATTTTTTCCAACGTGCTCTCTGTCCCTCTCGCGCGCTCTCTCTACCTCTCTCTGTCTTTCCGCATACTTGTGTATAAATTCAAATTCCTTTCAAAAATTCTTGCCCAAAGGGTTCGAGTCTGCGCTTGGTCCATATACCGCCCACATTCCGCTTTCGATGACTTTTGAAAAGTTAACGGAGTGCCATTCCTCACCGGTTTTGACTGAAAACCACTATGTTTTTACCTTTAGAGGATGCAAATACTTCACATGCTTGCAAATATGTATCTAATTTACATTTTTTTCCACGTCCTTGTGGCATTCTGTAACCCTTAAATTGGAACTGTGCTTCCTCAGAACCTTGGATATAAAAATCCCCTAACTCTTGACCTTAAAGAAATCGCAGAGCATTAACTTTAAAAGCCCTTTAGCTTTGGAAAAATGTTGCCATCATACAAAGAAATATTAAAACAATGCCTTCCGTGCCTCAATATGCCTCCAACAACAGGCTCTGCCTCCATAATTAAATCACGGCAAGGACAGCCGTCGGCAATGATTTCATATTAAGGTAAATTTTCCCGCTAATGGGGGAGTATAAAGAGCATTAAATCAATTAGTACTCTATTTGTTTTTCTTTGCCATCCGTATTCGGTTATAGGCACAAAAGGAAAATTACTTTTCAGTAATGGCAAAAATTTAGCATTGCGCATATAAAGCTGGACAATTTATGGTATAAATAAAGCATCTATTTAGTCACACTTTTAGCATCATTTATTTTTAAATTCCCTGGCGATTTGTTTGAATAAACAGGAATAAATTAATTAATGCAATGTTGGTTTTCACTGGCTGACACAATGGTGTTTGCTTATTCAAAAAAGGGCCAAATACAATATTATAATTTATAATTTCTTCCATTGTAAAATCATTTATTCACACTTTTCTGTTTTCTTTTTAAATACCCTGCATAACAGGCTGGGGAAAGCACATTAAATGCTGGCAACCGTAAATTACCTGGAAAACACGGCGTGTCGTCGCTTAAAACATAATCAAGATGTTTCTATAGTAACGTGTATGGTAACTAACGACTTAAGTACATTTAAAGGCGGTCGGCTGGAAAAAAACAGTCGAAATACCTTTTCCTCCCT